GTAACATAAACAATAGGTAAATTGATTAATTTAGTGGTTCACCAAAATTGAATGGACCAATCAATAATTATGGCCCATATGGGCCACTAAATCATGTTTAACATACCATATTACATAATATATACCTCATTATTGATTCATTAAATGTTTATTGATTGTTTGTGCAATAACCTACAAATTAATTAATGAATATAATGTTTTATGATGTCGATAATAAATTCAAAATCATGAGGTAATCGACATTATTTATTGTTAACTATGTGAATAAAACTTTAGAAAAAAGTACGTGTTCAATGCAAAACTTTTTTTAACAAAATTCATTTTAGTTTTTTAATTGTAAATAATCTTAAATTTTTATTCAGTCCAACTATATTTCCAGCAGTTAAATAATTCAATAATTGTTATGTGTAATTCAACAATTATTTATTTTTAAATTGTATAGGTACAATACTACAATTACATTTGAAAAATGCATTGCTATTTTTAACACTTTTCTTAAGTTTGGTTTCACGTCTGTCTGTGATCAAATCTTGCGCGCTCGATTTGAGGCACTTTTTGAAGATGAAAAATTCTGAAAATTGGTATAGACCTTGGTCTTGGATGACAATACAATAATCCGTAAAAAAAAATTTTTAACTAAAAAGTAGAAAATAAAAAATAAAAAATTTTTTTTTAAAAAACACTTTTCTAAAAAAACAAAAAAATAATGAAAAATTTAAAAGTGTGTGGTGCTCTTACACTTGACATATTATACCACACACTTTTAAATTTTTCATTATTTTTTTCACTGTAAATATGGACAACTCTTTTTGTTAAAAATTGTTATATTATTAAGCTATTTGTATTTTGTTTACTCATTGTGGCCCACGCGTAATATAGACAAAACCCATTCGTGCAATCGTACACAATTATTTGGTTTATGTTTTTGAGTAATCTCAGTGTAAAATCATAGATAGACAAATAATAGAGAATAATATTTTTGTTGTTTTGATATATATACATTTGTCTAAATATTGTCTCAAAGACTCAAAACAATTTAATATCCATTTAAATATAATTTAATATAAAACCGATATGTCAAACCCTCAAAAATATTATTGTCTATACATTTAGTTATAGGTAATTCGTGATTTTATTCTAGGATTTTAAATTACTCAAAAATCATAAAAAAAAAATTTTACTTGCATGCGTTTCGTCCTGTGGCGCGTGAGTCTCAGAGAAAACAAATATTGCGCTGACGTCATCCTCTTAAAAAAAATATAGCGATAAAATTCACAAATATTGTTCTGTAAAATTTTTTTTCACACAAAAAAATAACGAAATGGTAAAACCTAGCATAAAATGTAGTTTAAAAATGTTACACTAACAGTAAACCAACATATTTATTTTTTTTAAAAAACTTGTTTATTTATATTTATTTACAGAACACTCCATTTACATTAGGTGCCTACATATTACAAACACTGAGACATGCAGTCAATGTAGTCATATTACATATTATTAAGAAAACAAACAATTTCAGTTGGTTTTTAGTGTTTTGAAGTTTTTAGATTAGGTATAGCTTATTATTTTTCAAGCAAGGTTATAATATGAGATTTATTTTACAATAATTTGAATCTGATGCTTAAAATGTTTTCAAAGGGAATATGAAAACAATTTTAAATTCATGGATAACTTCCAGTAGTAAAAACTAAAAACATAATATTATGTATTTATGTCATTACATTTGAGTATTTATCTTTGTATATATGAATCACATTAATACATTATTTATTATTATATAAATTGATTGCTGAAGCCTGGTACGCTTTTAATCATATGATTTATCTGTTAAAAAAAAAGAACACAAAAAAACGTCAATAAAAATTTTGAGATTTTTAAATAGTGAGTTTTTTAACACTTGACCTAGTTGACCTACATGGTTACATAGTAACTAGTAAGTAAAACGTAAGTATACCTAGATGAATAATTATTGTATTCGTGAAGTAACAATAGTAAAAGTAGTTAATAATCCTCATAAATCCATGACTTAATTATTAATATTCCTATAAAAAAAAAAAACATATTTAGACACTATGACTAAAATTTATCATGTAAATTACGTATATTTGCATGTATTGTATTGATAAATGTGTTTATTTCCAAATAAACATTCATAGTGGCCTTAACGTGAATATTATAATGTCCATTAAGAGGACGCTATCCATGTGTTTGTTATCTCCGTCTTACACACGCACGACATACTAAATTTCCATTCGCTAGTTTAAATAGTGTGTTGTTAGTTTTAATATTAGAGTGAATTGACCTATTATCATACTATTAGGTAAGAATATTATCTGTGCTTAAGCGTTGGCGATTTTTAAATATTTTCATTTTCAAGCAAGATATGTGCACGTGAAATATCAAAAATTTAAAATGCTCATATCTTGCTTGAAAATTAAAAAAAACGAATAAAAGCCAACGCTTAAGCACAGATAATGTTATTATCTAAATATGTTATAATAGGTCAATTCACTCTAGTATCAAAACTAACTGCATACTATTGAAACTAGTGAACGACAATTTGCTATGTCGTCAAGCCCGGATTAAGACATTTTGAGGCCCAGGGGCCAAGGTTTAATTGAGGCCCCTGTACGAAAAAAAAAATAATGTATATTAATATATAGGTACCTGTTATAATAAATATATATAGGTATTAGGTACATAGCAATAAATCAAGAATTAAGTATCATTTTATTTATAAATTATAATTTACAAGCTTTTTTCCTCGCTAAATAATCATCGATTTTTTTAAAGTGATTTATGAGGTGTTATAGCCTATAATGGACAAATCTGAGGCCCCTAAATAAATGGAGGCCCGGGGGCCATGGCCCCCCCTGGACCCCCCTTAATCCGGGCTTATATGTCGTGCGTGTGTAAGACGGAGACAACAAATGTATGGGTAGCGTCCTCTTAATAATAATTGTATGATGTTACGTAAAACTGTTCATATATTGAGATAAATTATAAACAATGGACTATGGATTATCAAAATGTTATGGCAGTAGGTACTTGTTATGGACAAAACTTGTACCTAGGTCTAGGTGTATACTTGAAATTATTATTGTTAAACGAATGGAAGATTTAACTTTTTGGTATTATACGCATATCGACGGCATGCCTGAGGTGGCGAAAACATACGTGAAAACGGTATGCAAGATTAGATAAGTAATGCGATCGACTGATAGACAATACTCTGCATTAAAGTAAAAACATTAATAAAACGTAAGTCATAATGTAGTTATCTATAATAACCATGTAGTCGATGTTTAACAAAATATAATTAAATACTATCTAAATACTAACTATATATATAGGTATAGTAAGTATACCGTATACCTAGTATTAAATATCAACATGCGTGTTATATTTTACACCTTGGAAAATAAAATATAATATGATATTTTATTCTTGTTCCACTCCATATAGTTTGTTTTCCTCCAGGGGCGTCATTTGGGGTATTGCTGGGTATGCCTATGCATACCTAAAATTATCAAGATGCAATTTGGCCCGACTATAATTTTTCTGCGCCGGGCAAAAATTATCCTTTTTTTTTTATATATTTAATTGGTCTCGAGTATCGGCATCTATCATTTATGCTATATGCCCCTATAAGACCATACGCCGTAGTAGTTAGTAGATAAATAACTTATGTGTGATTAAAGATTTCAGAATTTGTTTTGTTTTCCTTAGTGTTTATGAATATGAAATAATGATATTCAAAATAAAATAATGTACGTTTTAACTGTGTAGTATTGGGTGTACAATATTGGTATTATATGAAATTATTTGATTGATGAAAAATAAAACTTTCGAGCAGAGCGAGAAAAAATTTTTTTTTCTAATAATTATAGTGTATATAATATTATATATTGGCCTGCTGAAAATTTTTTTGGCCTGCCCTGATGTTTGCATACCTTTCAAAAAGTTGAAATGACGCCCCTGTTTTCCTCCAATTAGGCCATTACATATCTCTGGATAAAAATAACGTTTATTCGAATTTCGTGAGATCGTCCATATTTTTAATTTTGTACATTTGTATAGCCCCATAGTCTAATCAAAATACGATTGCAATTTTTTTTTTGTTTATTGTGCGCTTACTGCTATTACCGCTTATACTTACTGTTTAAACAGACATTTTAACAATTAAATAACTATTGTCGATAATGTTAAAATTTACTATAAGTCTACGCGAAGTAGAAAAATATCAAATCGCATGCCATTCGGCATTAATTTTATCGCGAGCGGAACGTGCTTTTCGTAATCGTCGTCCGTCCTGCAGAGGTCAATGCCGCGGCCGTCAGACGTCATCGTTCGAACACGAAACGAACGACGTAATTTTGAACAAGCGCGTGTTTGGCGCGCTCGTGCCGCTTGTAGACAGTACGGCCGTCGGAACTACCGTGCGGCCGGTCCGTCGTCGCCGCACGACGGTCACACTGTCGACAATCGACGGGATGATGGCAAACGCGACCGCGTTCAGGAGCTACGTTGTCGTTTGTTTTGTTTGGGGTTGTGTTTGTGAAATTCATTGATTGCTGCTTTACAAAATTAATCTTTTACCACCAAGTTTTGTTGGTACTTTATACTTGTTTCCCGGTAAATTTGTAAATTTCAATTTACGGTCCCGCTGGTCACTGGTGGCGACGGAAGACTTGCTGGTCGGGACGGTTAACACGCCGGTTCGCGCACTTGGGCGTCACAAGTCACAACACCTAAACGTAAGTGCGCCGTAACAACATTTATTGCCGCATAAAACACCGTCGGCGGTGCACATAGCGTACACGCGCGAAACGATGTGGGCCGGGACAATACACTGACGCTTTGCCGTTTCTCGTTAGGGAAACAGTCTGTTGTGGTCGAGGCCTCAGCCGTCGTGCTGCCGTCTGCCGAACTGATATCGTTGTGCCTACCTTTGTTTACCTACCTCTAACCGTTGTTTGCTTGTGTGTAATAGGACGATGGGCGATTATATACACACAAACATTGCCCAGGACAATGTGGCGATGGTGCGGCTCGAGCTGGCACAGAACGATCAGATACCGCTGCGCCGACCATTCGACCCGCTCATCCACGACTTGGACCCGCACTTTAAGTTGACCAGGTTCGCTGACCTCAAGGGACGCGGGTGCAAAGTGCCCCAAGAAGTGCTCAACAAGCTCCTGGAGGGTTTCCAGCAGGATGAAAACGGTCATGGCGAACAGTCGCACTTCATGCACATGACCATGACCAAAATTGGTATTGGAATGGACGCCGCCGTTGTGCCCATTAGGCACGGTGGCCTGTCGCTAGTGCAGACGACCGATTATTTTTATCCACTTGTTGATGATCCATTTGTTATGGGCAAAATTGCCTGTTCCAACGTACTGAGCGACCTGTATGCCATGGGCGTGACCGAATGTGACAATATGCTCATGTTACTGTCTGTATCGACCAAAATGACTGAAAAAGAACGTGATGTTGTGATACCGTTAATAATGAAAGGTTTTAAAGAAACAGCTTATGAAGCTGGTACTACGGTGACGGGTGGACAGACCGTTGTAAATCCATGGTGTACCATTGGAGGTGTTGCAACTACTGTATGTCAACCAAACGAATTTATCATACCAGACAACGCTGTAGTCGGTGATGTTCTTGTACTGACCAAACCTCTTGGAACACAGGTAGCTGTAAATGCACATCAATGGGTTGATCAACAAGATAAATGGAATCGAATAAAACTAATTGTTTCAGAAGATGACGTGAGGAAAGCTTATCAACGTTCCATGGACTCGATGGCTCGTTTAAATAAAACTGCAGCCAAATTGATGCACAAATACAATGCTCATGGCGCAACAGACGTCACTGGTTTCGGACTATTAGGTCATGCCCAAACATTAGCGAAACATCAAAAGAATGAAGTATCGTTTGTCATTCACAATCTTCCAGTAATTGCCAAAATGGCATCAGTAGCAAAGGCATGTGGCAATATGTTCCAATTGTTACAAGGTCATTCAGCAGAGACATCAGGTGGACTTTTAATTTGCTTACCAAGAGAACAGGCTGCAGCATATTGCAAAGATATTGAAAAAGTAGAAGGGTATCAGGCATGGATCATAGGTATCGTGGAGAAGGGCAATCGAACTGCTCGAATAATAGATAAACCTAGAGTAATTGAAGTCTCGGCTAAAGAAAAGATGGAGAACTGTGGTAGGACTGTAATTAAATTAGTGCCATGAATCAGGAAGTTGTAAGGAATATACATTTTTTATTTTATTTAATATCTAGCTTCCCATTATTTCAATATTTAATTTATACAAAATCTTCTTTATTTGTTTCTGTAGCTTTTATACAGTTTTATCGTGTATTTTTTCACCACAGCTAGACTTATTAAAAAAATAAATGTATATATTTCTTACAAATACTTCGAATTACAATTGACCATTCATTAAAGTCTATATTTTTGTTTTTTGTAGTTTTAACCTAATAAAAATATCTGTGTACTGGTTACGTAAATCTGTTTATACTTTATAGTCATTACAAACCTAATGAAAATGAAACAATATATGGAAATTATTAATTACGGATTACAGTATGTAAATTGGCTACTAGTTTTTATGTTTTTTAATTTAGTTAAATGAAATTAGGATCCAATACAGTATGTATCTATGTTCTATATAAATCCAATTAATGTGTTACAACTATCATAGAATAATATAATTATCATGATAGATTGATATCAATATACTTTATATCAAACCTCAATGTTAATATTAATTAATATTGTCCGATTAACATAAATCATTTTTGAGCAATAAGCGCCAGTTTTAAGATTAAAATAAATATTGTACTAAGCATATTATGTATTTATGTATAGTATAAATATATATATAAAATAGTATTTATAAAAATTATTTTATTTTGTACACAAAACAATATCATGTGCACAAAGTTTATTATATTGTTTCTATTTTAATAATTCTTTACAATAAAGTTTATAATAAATTGCTTGGAATTAATTTATTTGAACTTAAAACAATAATATCTATTATCAAATGTACTTTTATTAATATTCTTATATTACATTAAAAAAAATACTGTAATAATTTTGATTATGCCTTACACTAATTTGTATTTTGTTATTTCTTATAGCAAAACTTTAAGATTCACTAAAATCGAAGCTGTGGCCTGTAGATACTTCATTAATATGGTTTTTTTATGTATTCTAGTTATAGAGATATATTTTCACTAGATCTAGAGAGATCTTAACTTAACATGAAAATTTCAAAAAGATAACAATCTAATATTTTTTTTTTCAATAAAATGGTATATTATTATTTATTATAATATATAATAATATATAATAACTGTATGAGTGTTTTAATATTAATTCTAAATACTCCTGTACGTGATATTTGTTGTATATGTGGCTATAGTAGTTTGTAATTTTATTTTTTAAAATAACAAGTTTAGGTAACCGACTAAGATAATTTTGGGTCTAATAATTTATTTCAGAAAATGCTCTATGTGTCAAAATGTATTCAACAAAATTTAAAAAAAGAAATTATAATTCAATACCCAGCAAACAAATTACAAGATTAAAATAAAATATATACATGAATACAACTTGGGTACCTGCGGTTGTAAAGCTGGTGATGTTATATTCAGTTTATTCCGCTATAGCCACACAATGTAATTGTTCACAAGTTAACTAGATCATACTCATCGCTATGTATGGTCATGTTTTTGTCTCATTTAACTTCCTTTTTTTTTTATAATTGATAAAAACCGTAGCATTAAATTTCTTTGTTGGTTATTATGCAGTTAACCACTTTATCCTTATGTAATGACATTTTGGGATATATGTCTACACGATAGTTATGTCAATTAAAAAACATTTTAAAACAAAATTTATAGACATGGTCTTGTCTGTAATAAAAAAATAAATAATGTTTAAGTAAATGTAAGTACGCAGTGAGTTTATATACAACTAACTTTTATTGGTACATACTTCTAACAATGATGATTAACTAATTATTTATTGCCGTTCTTAAATTTTTGCTTCTTTCAGTTCTTGCAATTCTCGTTTTCGTTCTTCCAACACAATTTTTCGTTCTTCTAAGAATTGTTGATACTCCTCTGCGTCCAAATCCTTGACTACTTTGATGCCCAACGACCTGGCAGTAGAAATTAACATGTTGCATATTTCTTCTAGATTTCTGAACTCCAGGTTCTCGTCGGGGTCTGCTTATCAACGCAATTTCGAACGTGCTTGAGCGTAACCATTCCGGCCGTCTCCTTCAGGGGGTTCATGGCTCCTTTCTGTATGCCTGCAGCTTGTTTCAGGTAGTACATGGACGGAGGTTTTGTAATCGATATCTGATAGCTGCGGTCCGGATTGACGTGCACCCGTGTCGGCAGGGGTATGCCTTCTTTTATGTCCTTGGTCTTCTCGTTGAAGTCCTTGCAGAAAGCTGTAATGTTGATGCCCCTGCAACCCAACATGGGCCCGAGAGGAGGGCCCGGCGTAGCCATGCCGGCCGGTATGTTTGTCCGCAACTTACCGTGTTGTATTTTCTCCACGCCTTGCTTCATTTGCCTCAACTTACTGGCGTTGTACTTGGACATGGCTTAAAACGGTACTCCACACTACCCGCCCAGCAGAGTTTGGACTTTAAATTAATAATTAATAATACGATTGATGTCGAAAATATATTATGAATAATAATAACTATACGAAATACGAAATTTTGAATCGAGGACCAAATGTGTATCGATATTTCCGCTTATGATAAAAAAAGTGTTATCTTCAATTGCGGTCTTCGCCCATAAAGTGATAATAAAAATAATATTATAACCTTAGATCATATACCAGTATATTAGACGAGTACCAGTTTAGTATATGCACAGAACCATAGGCGCCAAGTACATGGGTGCCCGGGGGCTCAAGCACCCATTAAAATTATTATGGGGTGCCGGGCACCCATTAGAATATTGAAAATGTATAGAGTGTATTTATATCCAAGTTTTGACAATTTTAGCAAACGACTATTGAAATACAATTCTAGCTGTGATAAAAATTGCAATTTTGAAAACAAAAATAAATTGTATTATTAGTATTGATAATAAAATGTAAAGGCGGGTTGCCACTATACACGTTCATGTGTACGTTTATACAAATCCTTTGCCGTGATTGGTTGGTTAGGTTAAGTTACCAACCGTGTGGTAACTAACCACGAATCACGATACCGTGTGGTTTTACCATGAACATTAGAGGAAGGACGCCGAACTGTGTATATAAAAGTGGTCCGGAATTATCGCATTCCGCCAGAATGCGCGTCGGACCGTAATGATGTCGTTTTTACATGTACAGCATAGGGAATTTATTGGTTTTTTAATATGATATTCTAATGGTTTAACTTATGAATAATTACTATAGAACATTTTTTAAAACCAAATTGCCCTCGATCGAATATATGTGTTTCCAATAATATACGACTTTTATAAAAAAAGATATAGTTGTTATCTCTTTTTATAAAAGTCGTATATTATTGGAAACACTTGTATTCGATCGAGGGCAATTTGGTTTTAAAAAAATGTTCTATAGTAATTATTCATAAATTTCACCATTTAGATTATAATAATAAAAAACCATTAAATGTCCTGTGCTATACAATATGTAAAAACGACATCATTACGGTCCGACGCGCATTCTGGCGGAATGCGATAATTCCGAACCATGTTTTTACGCTTCGTTCTGCTGTGTTCGGCGTCCTTCCTCTAATGTTCATGGGTTTTACATAGCTGAACATTTTTCGTAAACGTGTATATAGTGGAAACCCGCCTTGAGATTATAGTACCGTTTTTGTAACCACTAACCTACATCGTGGTAGATATTCAATCACAACCGAGGTATCCATCAACAATCTATCTATGGCTGATGAGACAAATTACAAACTTATTATTATTTTGGCTGTTCCGGTATCGTCTTGTACTTCGGAATGATCTTTTTCAGCACTTCGAAGATTAAAAACATTTTTAAGGTCTACAATGAAACAAAATCGTCTTAACAATATTTGCTTTATTGTTTGTCCGTCGTAATGAAGATATAGACATTGATAGCTAAGAGCTAACTCATTTATAAATTCAATTATAATAATAGGTAGGTACGTCAAAGCATATTTATTTTCTGAACAGTCAAATTAAATTTATTTTATTTTTTGTTTAACTTATTATTATTATTTATAAATAAGTTCCCAATTGGGTATACATTTATTTTGTTGTATAATTAATATATTTTATAATCAATGATGATCGCATATTTCAGTGTACAACATGGTATATATTATAATTTAATATTTGTATACACCAAAAAAATCCATAAGAAAATGCAAACGTTTTTGGTGAAGTAGGTAGTAGAATCATGACACCTATAGGCGAAATTTGGAGAGCCAAAATTAAAATTTTAGGGGGAAATTTGTCTTGACCAGTGGCTAAGCCCCCTCCCCCAAAATTATGTATTTATGCCTATGATAGTATGATACCAATGATACCAAGGCACCCATTAAGTTTTTTGAAACCTGGCGCCTATGCACAGAACAATGGTATATGATCTAAGATTATAACACAGAACAATAATGGATAATGGACTGGAAACGAGCAGCTTATAAGTGGCCCCGAAAATATGTACAAGAGGCAAATTCGGGGGGTCCCGATGATGATTGAGAGTTTACAGAGCCATCTGTATAAAACACGGACTGAGATGCAAAATGTGACGCTAAATAAAACCACTGGTTGCGCTGAAAACATTCAATTATGAGTGTTGATGATAACAGACGAACCTTCTGCCCTCACGAGAACCCAAGGTATTGCGTTTTCATTGTTTTCAACTTTTCAAGTATTTTATTCTGGTGAAAAATGTTTTATAGACATAAATTTAAAATTGACTCGACGTGAGTCAAAATATTTTGGACATATATGGTGTACATAAATGAATTAATGTAAACAAGAAGTAAAAATTAATTTAGTGTTTATAATTTTTTTTAAATATTAACTTCTAATATTAGCGAGCTAATATGACAAAATACGTAAAAATTACGAAAATGTGCTAATTATTTTTAGTTAGAAACATGTGAAAAAAATTTTTTTTTTAAATCTAATGTTTAAAAATGTAATGCAAGATTCCTCATAAGTTTGTCCACCTTTATCAAAAAAAAAAAAATGTGTTCAAGAAGTCAAATTAAATTTTTATGAGCGATTGAAGTTCATAATTTTACAACACTGGATATTCCTTAGATTTCTCATGTTTCTTATTTTGTTGAAATTCAAAAACAAATAACTGAAGATACATGAAAATTTCACTGGGTGTTTATATTTTCATTTTTTATACAGCATAACATTTTGAAAATATTTTGACTCGTTTTGAGCTGTTTACGGACATTTTCAGTTTTCAATTTTAGATTTTTGAGCGGAGGGATGAATGTACTGATTTTACAATAATGTGTTTTTTTTTAAATTTTTGTGATCGTCAGGGGCAGTAAAACTACTTCAATTTTCTTCAACAGTATCTTGTTTGATGGTAAAGTGAACATAGTTAATGCATTCGGGAGCTCAAATTTAAAAATTCTGAATAATTTTCAAAAATTAAGGAAAAACGGGAATTTTTACCCAAAATCGGTTTTCGACAAAATCGATTTTGGTTTTTTGTGTAACTCTAAAACAAATGAACGTATATACATGAAATTTTCAATGGTTGTTTATATTTGCATTTTCTATACACCGTAAAATGTTTAAAATATTTTGATTTGTTTTGAACTGTTCAGGAACATTTTCAGTTTCCAATTGTATTAGTATTTTTCTATGAATGTCAATAAAACTTTATTTGTTGGGTAAAAAAGATTGAAAATTCAATACAAGGTTCCTACTATATTGTTACCATGACATTTGAAAAATATTAAAAATCTTTAGTTTCAGTTTTTTTTTATAAGCATTTAAAATTCAAATCTTGACAAAATACTTAAAAATTACTTTGAGATGAGAATTCATAAAAAATTCATAAAAAAATCTAAGATTTGAAAATGAAATACAAGATTACTCACAAGTTTGTCTACCTTTGTCAAAACATCAAATCAAATTACATTTTTATAAACGTTTGAAGTTCATATTTTTACAAGATATATTCACTCGATTTTTCATGTAGTGATTTTGTTGTAATTCAAAACCAAATAACTGTACATGAAAATTTCACTGAATGTTTATATTAGCATTTTCTATGCACCATAACATTTTAAAAACATTTTGACTCTTTTTGAGCTGTTCGGGAACCGTCAGTTTTTAAATTTTTTAGTTCTTATTTCTATAATTGTCAATAAAATGTTATTTGTTGGGTAAAAAAGAGTGAACATTTAATACAAGGCTCCTGATATATTGTTACAATAGTAGAAATATTAAAAATATTAAAAATACAATCATTAAGAAGTGTTTCATAACAATTAACAATGGACAATTGTTCTTAGTTCTAAGATATTTTATAGTAATGCATAGGTATTGCATATAGAGTGCAATGGGTTCTAATTTTGTATTGCCTACAGTAAGTTTCAGATTTCAGTGATTACATTAGAACAGATATACATTTATTATTTATGTAACATTAAACCACAGAATATAACAATACAAATAATATAACTAATATTTATAGTATTTACATAATTGAATATCATCATAGATATTTAATTGATAATGTTAAAACTATACATTTAGTTTATAGCCTTTAGGGATAATGGAAACATAATATTTATAAATGTTTATGTTTAATGGCAGAACATATTATACTATAGTAATGACTATAGACTTTAGTAATGCCTATGACTAATATTATTTATAATAAATTAAGTATATAATTTTAATGTTGAAAAAAAATTAGGAATTCTGCATTATAATATATTATGAGTGATGTGATGTGTGATAGATAGTGTTTACTGATTTAGGGTATTAGTTTAATAAACAATTTATTGTTAGTTGACAACACAGCTATAGATAATAATGATAATAATAATAATTATATTTATTATTAAAAAATTTTTCAATGTTAAAAATAAATTTAAGAGCAATTTTTAAAAATATTATTTGATATGAGTGCATTAAATCGTAATTTTTTAAGGTATTTTTCTTATTTTAAGAGCATTTAAATCCGTTGACTAATAATAATATATAATATTATCTAATTTTATCTATATCCATTATTGATAAATATTTTTTGCAGATTCCAAGTAGTTTAAAAATTAAACTATAACATACAACGACTGGTAATGGAATCATTATTGCAACTTTTTTGTACTCTAAAAATATTATGACACTTGTTAGATTATCAATTTTTGTATGTATTATAAAATATAAATCATAATTTGAGAACATTTAAAATAAGATTAGTACCAAATTTAATTTATAATTTTTTTCAAGAAATAATTTTTGGAATTATTGCATTCATTATTGATGATAGGGATGCTTTGTATTATTGTATTCAATTAATAATTATTATAACTGTACCATTTACCTCCTTCTCTTCAGCCGTAATATTGGCATATGTAAGAAAAATAATTAAAAATAGACTTCAACAGTTTTTCAAAAGC